AAAATATTCAGTTCTCAACAAGCTGTGGAAAACGCCTTTTGTGATTTCATTGACACTTGCTCTCCCAGCTTCTTTGCTGCTGCGTAAACAAGCTACTGTTAAGATGGCAAAACTGTGTAGATAGTTTAGGCACTTACTCCCATTAATTGTACTGCTTCTTGTTTGAAATATAATAAATTAAACTTTTGATTAGAAATCAGACATTTCATATTTAACAACCTCATAATACTCCAAGTGATATCAAACCACTGGAGTAGATTGTGTATTATGTGTTTTGTGGCTTTTAATACACTTGGAATTCTGTCTAATGCCCCCTGTGGACTTAAGAGTAGAAGAATGGGAGGTTCAATTTCCTATGTTTATTGGTGAGTATTCCTTCTGTGAATTGTTTGTTCATAACCTTGGTTTATTTCTCTATGGGATTATTTATATTTTTCTTATTGATATTAGGTATTACCCTTTTGTTATATATGTTGCAGATATTTTGTCCAAAGAATTTGCTTTCTAACTTTGTTTATATGCCTTTCTCTATGTAAAGTTTAGTTTTTAATATAGCCAAATCTATTGATCTTTTCCTTTTTGACTTCTGGGTTTCTTTTCATGTACAGGGGACCTTCTTCCCTCCCAGAATTTAAAAATATTTAAATACCTTCAATAATTTTTGAAAAATTTTTGGGTCTTTAATCTGCCTGGAATTTATTTTTATATGTATCTTCCTATTCAACATGTCTAAAATCAAATTCATTTTCTTTACCAGAAACCTACTACTTCTGTCTTTCCTGATCCTATTCATGATATCATCATTACTTAAAGTCACCCAGACTGAAATTGCATCATCATAAATTGCTCCTTGTCCTCTGCCTCTGCCTACAGCATCACTACTACTACACGGAGTTGATGGTCAAATCTACATCCTCTGTGGTCTGACTTTCAACCTTTATCTACCATTGCTACCTCACAATGTGAATGCTTTCACTAAAAACAGTCTACTTATCATACCCAAAACACAGCCTATAGATGTCTACCTTCATACCTC